TAGCCAAAAGAGGCAGTGACCTGAACCACTGATAAGATCATCCCTAGCTGGGATCAACGATTCTAAAGGTGGAATTCATTTCACTCCTTTTGTTCCAACCTCCGCATTTGCTCACACATCCATCCGACAGGAAGTTAGCTTTCTATTCAGGCTTGCTAATCACATCATTCAAGTTTTCTAGTTCCTCCGATTTTTCAAATTAAATTTATTATTAAAAATGAACACATCTTACCATTGCCACTTACTGGCCAAACCATTTAAACTCTGAGCCTCCCTATCTTCATTTGTAAATGAAAAGTGTTCCAAAGATTAGAGAAAATGTGTCTAGCACAAATTTTGGCCCATGATAAGGACTAATTATATCATTATAGCACATTTGAATTATTTGTCTGTGTCTCTCCCTCCCCTAGATAGTAAAGTTCTCAAAGGGCGAGAAATTCATCTTTGTATGTTATCCCCGGCATCTAACACGACAGTGCTGGGCACATAGTAAACTTTTAACAAAAGTCTGTGAGGTGCGCAAATATGCACATGGGTTGCCTTTCCAATGACTGTCAGTTCCAGGAAGGCAGAGAACGTGTCATGTGCTTTTCTTGTGTCTTTCACAGCAGCCACCATGGTTGTTGGGCAAATCAGAAAGCATTAATTCCAGGCACATCCATGAGTAGACCAACACATTCTTCTTAGGGGTTGTCGCACAGTGTAAAAGTCACATGATGTGAAATCTGAAGACCCTGGTTCTAGCTCTGGTCCACTCTCTTACTGTGAGATTTTAGGCAAACTCGCTAAATGACCTGGGCTTGTTTTCTGCAAAGCAGGGGAGAGAAAAACCTTGAAGGTTATCACAAGGATGAAATAAGATCAAGTAAAATACCACATAAAGGTGGAATATAACTATGAGGGACAAGGGAAATACTCATATCTATTTGGTTTACAGGAAAATGGTTCTGCTTCCTATACATCCCAACCCAGGATAGAATAAAAAAGCACCATACCATGAAGATGCTGTGTTTATGTGATCTTCACATACCTTTTAGGAAAACCTGGTTTTGAGAATACTCGCTTGGCCTGATCCAGTGCAATCAGTGGCTAACAAGTGTCCTGGGGCCACTCTTCTACATGTGAACTCACAGCATGCCTTAAATAGTCAAAAAAAACCCCCAAAAAATAAAAACAAAAAAACCCTGCCAAATTTCTTCTTGATCTTCTTACAAAGGTTGACTCAAAGGCAAGGCCAAGAATTGGACAATCTTCTCCTAGGAGAAAGAGTATTCTTTACTTAAACTAAAAGCAACTAAATGGATTACTTAGGGAACTATGCTGTATTCAGAAGAGTTTCCCTATGATCTAAAATTAATCATAAAACTTTATTCTAGCCACCTTTTAAATTCTCCTTAACATTTATTAGTCTACTTATTTAATTTTGTAATTTAGAAAGTATGGGATACTGAACATAATTGAATCTTTGTTTAGATTCAAGACCACTTGGCAGGGATCTGTAGAGAGGACTCACGCAGCAGATGGGTGGCTGAGTTAGATAAACATTAAGATCGCCTTCAGATGTGACAATCTGGGATCTGAACACCTAGTTGTACTTTCACTTATAAAAATGAACTTGAATCATCACTGGGCAGTATGGAAGCGTAAAC